CAGGACATCCAATCATCCATAGACCTTTGACATCACTCATGCGCACAACAAGCTCCCATCACTCGGGGCCTCACACACACGTCCTGCATAGACAAAGCAGCAATGGAGATAAAAGCGAGTCCTTCTTGTATACAAAAATTCTCAATTAACTGCCGCCCCCAGGCGCAGCCTTCAAAACTTCCCAAGACCACCGACCACCATAGCCACAAGGCCCTGCCGCGGCCGGCGTCCAATCCCCACCACTGCTCAGTCCCTGCGACTGCTTCGCCCCGAGTCTACCGTGGGTCCACTCCGCGTCGTCACTCTGCCCGTCCTTGGGCTCGTCAAGCCTGTTTGGCGCCGCGGACTTCGCGCATAGCTCGCGCAGCATTGCAGCCGAGATCAAAGAGAAGGAGAGGAGAGGGTTGCGCGAATTTATAGCGTGGGAGGCGGCGGGTTGTCAGCGTGAGGTGCGGGCAGCGCAGGGTGTAGATGAGCAGGAGAGAAGAAAGGTGGGGAGTCAGAGGGCTCGACCCGCGGGGTTGCATGTTCGTTTAAGTGGTGCGCGGTTTCCCGCTCTCCACATTGATCGAGTATCCCAACTACGCAGCCAATCACTTCGCGGAGGAAGACGGGGTAAGGATCGAGCTGGGCGTAGGGGAAGACGAAGAGTCCTGCATGGGGGGGAAACGCGCGCAGCAAGAACGGAAGATGGCGGGGGGACGCAAAGCAAGAAACGGGGGTGCGAGACGCGCGAAGAAGTCGGAGCTTAGGCACGCACGCACGCAAAAATTCAAAAAAAATCCCAACCGAAACCGTTTCTTGGTTTTCATACCGCGGCCGCTATTCGCCCGCACGGAAGGTATTAACCAAAAAAATAAAAAATCCGTTTCAAAAAGAAAACAAAAGCAAAAAGAAAGAAAAAACCCTTTTTGTTCGCATCCGTATTTCGGGGCTTCCGGGGGATTTTTCCTCAGGGATACGGCAAGCCGCGCGGTACGGGCCTGAGCTTATCACAACGTTCCTACTTCCACTATTGAGTCTCCCACTCCCACTGATGGTGCCGCCACCCAGAGGACTTCAGGGCTTACCAACAATCAAATGTCATCATATATGTCACAGAAAGCTCTAGAACTTTTGGAAAAGCTATACCAAACACAAAGTCTACCCTATTACGCTAATCAACCAAACAGCACAACGCTCAGCGCTTGCCTAACATCAGTGAGCGCCGATACCCAGGGCGAGTAGGTAACCATGCACACGCCTATCAAACTCCGAAGCGCACAGCAGGCATCCAATCGACATACTCTTCAAGCGCACGGCACACGCCCAATCGACAAACCCTTTGTCACTGTGAACGTGCACCCACCCCCTAAACGCAAAAGCGAAACACACCGCAAAACACTAATCAGAAACAAGTCAAAGCACAAAATAACCGAGAAACACACGATCGAGGAGTCGAAGCCTTGCGAAGCCCTCCGTAATATTACATCAGCATAAGAAAAAGGGAGGCACCCCAACCAAAAGGACAGAGCAACTAGAGAGAAACAAGCAGGCGAAGAGAAAACCGAACAGACAGCGTAATGTAACGTCAGTGTAAAGATAATCGAAGCAACAAACCAACAGGGACAGCTCAACTAACCAACAGACAACTATAGCGAGACAACAGGCAAAGAGAAAACCGAACAAAGCGCGTATTGTGACGTCAGTGTGATGATCATCGAGGCAACAAACCAATAAGATTTTGAAAATCTACAAAGTATCAAACTGAAGGAACAATCTCAATGACTAAGAACTGGGAGAGAAGAATAAGCATTAGGGTTACCCTCTCATCCTCACTATCCAAAACACTGCAAAGAGCCTTTGTTGCCTAGACAGGTTTCCCACCACGCACCCAATGGATACAACTCTGGTTTGCTCTTCACCGGGTCTCTCGTATCATCCCAACCCTGTGAGTATCGCCCTAAACCACTGCAAAGAGCATCGAGGAACTGGTGCGATACAACCGACCAAGGTCATCAATCATGCGAGGGAAGAGCGTAGTATATATGTTTCCAAAGATATCTCAATCCTACATAAGAACTCAATACCAGTGGACAAAAACCTTCAAACTACATCAAGCGGAAAACTAAACAGAACGTAGAAGACAAAGCAACAACCAAATTAAGTAAAAACAAAACATGAAGTGAATGAACTTCAGGCTGCCTTGCCACATAAATAGATCAGACGAGACTTGCTGTAGCTCTTGGACATGCCGGAGCGCTGCCACCACAGCTACACGCTCTCCCACTGCGTCCAGATGCGCCACACCGCCTTCCATGCTTTTCTAGTGGTCGAGGCAGCCGGGATGACGTGTCATGATATACAGCGCACGGCCCTTGGATGGTGAAAAAGGAGCCCCCCCTAATGAGCAACGGGCTTGAGGGGAGGACGACTCCTCTGGTATCGAGATCCTGTTAGGTATAATAGTCGGTATAGAGGTCAGGTACGGAGCTGCCAGGATGCCATGGTGTAAGAGTGCAAGGCACTCCCTACCCACTCAAGGGCTAGGCTACGCCAGGGCACTGTCGCCATAGCTCTCACACAGCTATGGTGCCCGGCAGGGTAGGCGCCTCGTGGAAGAGATCAGCGTCCACATACCCGGACGTTGCGTCCTACACAGCCGCCGCTGGCGACCAAGCGCCACCACCGCCGCTATCGCCGCTTCGTTAGCGCACATTTCGTGCGGCCCCCTAAACTGAACAACTGGGTCACGTCGAAATTCTTTACCAAATTTAAAATAAAATTTTAAATTAAAACTTTTTTTTTTTTTTTTTTTTT